TTGTGCGTGAAACAAGGTTTCCTTGAATATCAAACACTTTTAATTAGTAGAGTCAAGAGAATACTAAATATAAAATAATTCCGTTTTCTGTCAATGTGTCAATTTATAGTGACAAAAAAATTGCCCCCGAACTGCCGCCGAACTTCGAAATATCGGCGGCAATTTTTTGCCACCGAAGATTTATCAAAATTGCGAGGACTGCATGCAGTTTTCGTAATATTTAATTAACTACTCCTAATTGGCTACTCCTACCGAGCCGCATGCGGTCTTTCATTTTCTTGTTCATGACGGAATCAAAATATTCCTTTCAGTTTTTATTTGAAAATTATGTTAACTGATGTTTAGTATCCTACATTTGTTAATGCACATTTAGCGACTCTCACGAGAATTGCAGTTTATGCTCATAAAATGAAGACTATATATACTAGAAATTCTATAATACTGATGTGTGGCAATCTATGCTTATATATAGCACACAGTACTTTAATTGTAAACCAAATTTATAGCTGAAGCTACTTTAAATATTACATTGTGTTTTGTGCATTTCCCTAACATAAACTTGCTGAAACGAACCAAACTTACATAATTCCTGTTCATAAAACACGACGTTTGCCAGTGACTCCACACAGAATACAAGATCCTCCCTGAAGACAACACTGAAAGATTTGGTAGGTATAAGTCATTGGTAGGTATATTTCATTTAATATTTCTATATCTATTTACGTGCTTGTGGGAAAATGTAGGGATATAGACGGACAAGCGATAATTCAAGTTGATATCTAGAGATAGAAACGGACAGGACATTATAAATGTGGATATGTAGGGATAAATAGGGTTATAAAAACACGTGTGAGAATCCAAGATGGCGGAACGTTGTTGTTTTTCGAGAGCATTTATTTAGTATAAAAATAGCATGTTTTAGATATTAAAAAAGGAATAGAACCAATCGTAGGTCTTTATTGTCGTCTCATAAAGCGATTATCGACAAAGTGGCACCTCTGACGTGAATGGGAACTGTGATTTTAAGCGAAAATCTCGGGAAATTTGTGTGAAATTTGTGAAAATATGGCGACCTACGAAGGTAAATTGAAATCGATGGAGACTAAGATCAAACTACTGAAGCTAACCGATGAAGAAACACAACGAACAATTGAGAAAGGACACGTACCGTCACTCGAAAGGCAACAAAGAGTGCTCAAAACGAAATTGGAAGAAGTATACAGTTTAAAAGTTGAAATACAAGAGCTTAAAATTCAAAGTGACGAGGAGACAGATAATATACGTGAGTGGAGCTCGGATATCGACAGCCAGTTGACGACTTTTGAAGGGAATATAGAAAAGCTTGAAAGCGTGATAAAGGAACTGAACAAAAGATCATTGGAACAAACAAAGCAAGACGAAGAACAACTTATAGAGCAAATGAAGCAGAAACAATTCGAAAGAGAGATGAAATTTGAAGAAGAAAAATTTGAACAACGAATGATGTATGAGAAGAAAATCGAAGAAAGCCGCCAAGCTCAAGTCAAGACTAAGGATAATCTTTCAAGGTCAAATTCAAAGCTACCAAAACTTGTTATTTCGAAATTTAACGGAGAATTTACTGACTGGCTCAGATTTTGGAATCAGTTTGAGGCGGAGATAGAGGCTGCTGAAATACCTATTGTAACTAAGTTTTCCTACCTGAAAGAGCTGCTAGATGCAAAAGTTCGAAGCCGTATTGATGGTTTACCCCTGACCTCTGAAGGGTACGAACGCGCCAAAGCTATTTTGAAGGGCAAGTACGGGAATACTAGCGAAATAGTTAATGCCTATATCCAGAACATATTATTGCTACCTCGGGTCCAGGGCTTCAATCCTGCAAAGATACATGATTTTTATGAGAAGCTTCTATGGAATGCCCAATCGCTTGAAACCCTGGGGAAGTTGAAAGAAATAGCTGGTTATGTTCGAATGACTATTGATAAATTGGAAGGAATTCGTGGAGATCTAGTTCGAACTGATGACTCCTGGCAAGAGTGGAAATTCCCAGAATTGATTGAAGCATTAGGGAAGTGGACAGTGAGAAACCCAATCAAAAAGGAGGAGAAGATTAATGACACCAATTCAGTTGGTACAAAGAAAACCAGAAGCTTCCAAACAAAGCAACAAGAATCCAAACCAAAACCATGTATTTATTGTGAGAACACTGATCATAAGCCAGCCGAATGTAAGAGTGTTGTTACTGTTGCTGACCGCAAAAAGATCCTGTCCACTAAACAACTATGTTTTAACTGTACAGGAAAAAGTCATAAAGCATCTGAATGTCGAAGCCAATTGGGATGTCGCAATTGCAAGAGAAGACATCACACCTCGATTTGTGAAAGTAAAACCCCCTACTTGTGGCTACAGGCGAAGGAGCAGTCGTATATCCAATAGTCGTGGTAGAAGTAGATGGAATCATGTGTAGAGCTTTATTAGACACTGGCGCTGGAAGCTCCTATGCTTCTGCAACTCTCCTAGCTCGTCTGAATACTTCACCTGTTCGCAAAGAGTATCGAAGAATTGAGATGATGATGCAATCGAGCACCAAGATGATAGAAGTTCACAAGATCAAGATTGATAGCTTAGAAGAAAACTTTCATCTTGATACCGAGGTAACAAAAGTTGACCGTGATAAACTTCTTTCCCTAACCAACCCCAGATACAAGGAGATAATAGAGAAATTCACCTACCTCAACGGAATAAAGATGCAAGATGTGGATGAGAAGCCAGAATTGCCTGTTCACCTTATTCTAGGGGCAAGCGAATATGCAAAAATTAAAACCGAAACCAGACCCCGTGTTGGTAAACCTGGAGACCCTGTTGCAGAATTCACCCGTTTTGGTTGGACCCTTATCTCACCTGGAAGTGAAGTGGACTTGTCAAACATGTTCTTAACGCAAACGTCAACCGTGGACTACGAAAATCTCTGCAGCCTTGATGTGTTGGGCTTGAAAGATTCGCCAGCAGGAGACCAACGGAGTGTATATGAAGAATTCAAGGAACAGTTGATCAGACGCCCAGATGGATCATATGAAACCGGCCTTCCCTGGAGAGGATGCCATCCACCTTTACCAAATAATGAGCTGGGAAGTCTAAGAAGGTTAAATTACCTTGCCAGGAAGTTGGAGAAACAACCCGGTATGCTTCAGAAGTATGATGATGTTATCAAAGATCAGTTATCGCAAGGCATTGTAGAGAAAGCAACAGAAGAAGCAGATGGTCGTGAGTTCTACATCCCTCACAAACCCGTTGTTCGTGATTCCGCCGAGACCACCAAGCTTCGCATCGTTTACGATGCTTCTGCTCGAGAGAATGAGAAAGCACCTTCCCTGAATGAGTGTTTGGAAACTGGGCCATCCTTGCAGAACTTACTTTGGAGCGTGTTGGTGAGAAATCGATTCTATCCAGTGGCCATTGCGGGAGATCTGAAGCAAGCATTCTTACAAGTGTGGATAAAGAATCAAGATCGAGATGTGTTGAAATTTCATTGGTTCAAAGATTTGGGAACTAAAGAAGTGGAAACACTACGATTCACACGCGCCCTGTTTGGCCTCGCTCCATCCCCCTTCCTTCTGGGAGGAGTGATTGAACAACATTTGGAACTGTGTCAAGAGAGATTCCCGCACGAAGTAGAAGAGATCAGACGAAGCCTTTATGTGGATGACCTAATTGGTGGAGGAGAGACCCCAGCCAAAGCCTTACACTTGAAAGAAACATCTCAAACGATTTTTGGCGAAGCAAACTTTGAACTTCATAAGTGGCATTCAAACAACCCTGACCTAGAAACAACCAGCACATCCACCTTTGACCAACAACAAAGTTATGCGAAGGAGCAACTAGGAGTGCAGCAAGGTGAAACCAAGTTACTGGGCTTACCATGGAAGAAAGGTGAAGATACTATAGCAGTCAAAGTGTTGCAACAGAAAGCAGAACCCACAAGAAGAGGAATCTTGGGTACCCTTGCCAGAATCTACGATCCATTAGGATTAGTGTCACCAATCACTGTGGCTGGTAAGATGCTGCATCGTGATGTTTGTGAAATCCAAAAATGTTGGGACAAACAGCTACCTACTCCAGTTCTTAACAAATGGTTGCGTTGGGAGAAACATCTACCGGACCAAGTGACAGTGCCAAGAAGCCTTGTCAAGTATCAAGAAGAGATCACAGGAATCCAACTGCATACTTTCGGGGACGCAAGTGGAAAAGGGGTTTCAACGATTGTGTACGCAGTGATTCAGCAACAGACAGGAGTCAGCCAGGGACTCGTTGCCGCCAAGTCGCGTCTCGCAAAACACGGACTGACCATTCCCAGACAAGAGCTAGTGTCGGCGCATATGAGTACTAACCTTGTGCACAACGTGAAAGTAGCATTGGCGGGTTTTCCAGTAACAGGCGTTTACGGTTGGCTTGACAGTACCGTGGCTCTCCATTGGATAAACGGGAATGGAGAATATAAACAGTTTGTAAGAAATCGCGTAAGAAAAATCCAAGAAAAGCATTACATCCAGTGGGGACATGTACCTACAGCCGAAAACCCAGCAGACGTGGGAAGCCGTGGTGGATCTGTAGAACAACTGTCCGAGCTTTGGTGGCGGGGACCTGCATGGCTGCAGCATCCAGAAAGTTGGCCAGAGACAGTTGTTACGAGCGCGACTGCAGAAAGTGAATCCGAAGCTAAGATTGTACGAGATGTGTTGGCAGTAGCGATGCGAGAGGAAGATAAGCTTGATGAGCTGATGGAAAAGTTCGAGTATTGGAAAGTCATACGAACAACCGCTTGGGTAGCAAGGTTCACCAGCAATTGCAAGTTGAAGCAATCGGAACGAATCAAAGGTCCTCTAAAGACAGCAGAAACCAACCTTCAAGTCGACTTTTGGGTAAAGCGAGTGCAAGAGAAATGTCAAGGAACCAGAGAATTCGAGGAAGATCGACAGCGTCTCAACTTACAGAGAAATTACAAAGAGTTGTTCGAATGTCGAGGTAGAATTCAGGGAGATTACCCAGTATACCTTCCTGACAAGTCAACACTTACAGAAAAGCTGGTGATGGATGCTCATGTGCGAACTTTGCATGGGGGAGTGGGACTTGTTATGACAGAAATCAGAAAGGAGTACTGGATCCCTCGTCTGCGAAGTGTTACGAAGCGTGTAATCAAGAAGTGCTATGGCTGCAAACGTCATCAAGCTACCGCCCTTGCTCAACCACCTCCGGGCAATCTTCCGCGAAATAGAACTGAAGGAGCATGGCCATTTCAAGTTGTCGGAATTGATTATGCTGGACCGATAACGTATCGAGCTAAGAAAGGTCAAGAGAAGAAGTCATACATATTGCTTTACACTTGCAGTTTGACACGCGCATTGTACCTGGAGTTGCTGCCTGATCTTACGACCGACGAATGCATTCGAAGTTTGAAGCGACTTATTGCAAGACGGGGACGACCAGACCGGATTTACTCAGACAATGGGAAAACTTTCGTCGCAGCTGCAAATTGGTTACGTAAGGCTATGAGAGATGAACAGTTGCATGATTGGCTAGCGAAGCAGAAAATTGCATGGCAATTCAATTTAAGCCGCGCCCCTTGGTGGGGTGGTCAATTTGAAAGGATGGTGGGGCTTGTGAAACAAGCTCTCTATAAGACCACGGGTAAAGCAAATTTGCGCTGGGAGGAACTGGAAGAAGTGCTCTTGGATATTGAGACAGTCCTAAACAATCGACCATTAAATTACGTCGAAGATGACATTCAATTGCCAACTCTAACACCACATGCCATGATAGTAGGACGTCCTAATTTGATACCAGAAAGTGCAGAACTTGATGATGAAAACGATGGTGATCTGAGAAAAAGAGCAAAGTACTTGCAACGATGTAAGAATGCATGGTGGTCGAGATGGTCAGCTGAGTATTTGAAAGCTTTGAGAGAACGACACAACTTGAAGAACAAAACAACGGAGATGAATGCAAAACCTGGAGATGTAGTCTTAATAAAGGGTGATGAACGAAATCGTGGGCGATGGAAAATTGGCATCGCAGAAAAGCTGATAAAAGGCAGAGACGGAATTGTGAGAGCAGTACGATTGCGAGCTGGTAAGTCGTTCCTGGAACGTGCCATACAACAGTTGTATCCGATGGAGTTATCGTGCGACAGAGCAAGCCAGAAGAAATTGGATGCAACAGTTAAAGAATTCACACCAAAACGACGGGCAGCAAAGATAGCGAAAGAGAACATTCGTCTAATTGCTGAAGAAGAAGAGGAAGAACATTAGCATGGAACATTTAGCAGTTATGGGTTAATACTGAACAGTTACGTCCGTATTAGGACTATTATGACGTTGAAGTTGACTTTATCATATAACCGTAAATATATTTACCTTTGGACTAGCCAAAGTAAATAGGGGGAGAGTGTGGGAAAATGTAGGGATATAGACGGACAAGCGATAATTCAAGTTGATATCTAGAGATAGAAACGGACAGGACATTATAAATGTGGATATGTAGGGATAAATAGGGTTATAAAAACACGTGTGAGAATCCAAGATGGCGGAACGTTGTTGTTTTTCGAGAGCATTTATTTAGTATAAAAATAGCATGTTTTAGATATTAAAAAGGAATAGAACCAATCGTAGGTCTTTATTGTCGTCTCATAAAGCGATTATCGACACTCCCATTGTCTTCGACATTTCAAAGTGTAGACTGTGTCTAGTGATGAGAATCAAGGAATTTATTTTATGTGTTAATATAAACCAAGCCCGTTTAGCTGCCTTAAAACGGTGGTTTAATAAGCTCAAAATACAAAGCATGCAAGTCTATACTATAGATTCATCATCAGTGAACAACCAAACTGAAAGTATTGAACCTTATAGAACGATAGTTTTTATTTGTTTACAACTATACATATTCAACGGGTATATAAGAGTTTAACTGTTATTTGATAATTACTGCATCAACCGGCCCCTTGTTTATACTTTGGAGGTTCGTATATATTAATATCTATCAAGTATCTTTGGTTCAGAACATGACTGATAGGCCTATATGGAAATCCCACTGTTCGATTCAGTGAAGAAATATCTCCTAATTTCTATCGATAGTTTTAGTAAAATGTCAACATTATTGCGATTTATGGCCTTTGAAAGTCAAGCGAGATAGTATATTATCAAATTAATACGCATGTAATTGTCTGAACGAAAATATAGACTAGCCCATACCTTTCGCCGATCATAACTTCGGCCCCTTCGGACGTATCTTGTTTGTTAAATATTCTTGTTCGAATCTCTATCAATAACACTATTTAGAGTGTTATTTTTCAGCTTGTATCTTTTAATTTGCTTCTTTTATTATGTTATTCCATTTCTGGTCTGACTTGACGTGAACTATTAATTTCAAAACGCAGAGTTTCAAAACGTCAAAACATTTGGTTAATGATTAACATTTAACCGAATTTAGCCGTTGATTGACAACTACATAAAAATACTAACCAATCCGTTTTTCCCGTTCACCAGCGGACGGGTAATTCAAAAACCCCTAGTTTTGCGGCAGACGGTATTTCCTTTGCTTCCCTAATTTTCGCTGCCCGTAGAAATACCGCCTGCCATGCAGGCTAGGCATGTAGTAAAACACTGACTACCGGAACACCGGAACACTACCGGAACACTACCGGAACACCGGAACACCACCATTTTGTTTGGGGTTAGGGTTAGGGTTGGGGGTTAGGGTTGGGGGTTAGGGTTGGGGGTTAGGGTTGGGGGTTAGGGTTGGGGTTAGGGTTAGGGTTAGGTGGTGTTCCGGTGGTGTTCCGGTGTTCCGGTGGTGTTCCGGTGTTCCGGTAGTCAGTGTTTTACTACATGCCGGAGATTTATTATAGTTTCACTTTCGGAAATTGTTATTCTAGTATTTTACAGTATTATCTTCGTATGGGGTCATATAATAACTCGCGTCTTTTGTGCGGCGTTTTTGAAGGAAGCAAATTAAACCATGTCAAATATTGCCACACACACGCATCATGGCGGCAACCTGGTGTTCAGGGAGTGGTTTGAAAATCCGTGAAAATGGCGATCTTACGAGCTGTTTTGTCGATACTTTACTCCTAATACCAACTGCTATAGTTTTGTTTATATTGATACCAGCTTTGGTGCTCATTTTGCGTGGAAAATCGGAGGTTTTTGGGCAATCTTGTGTGAGATTCAAACATCACTCCTTGCGATGGATGCTAACTATCCTACTGTTATTATCTTATCTGGTCAAGATCGGCGAAGGTTTTATGTTCCAAGAACAGATTTCAACAACACCGTTACACTTGTATCTACCCAATATGTTCTCATTTGTATGTTTGATACTTGCAACCATCTATTATGATATTGTCGAAGTCAGTCAAATCTCTCCAGTCAAAAAGCTATCAATTCTGTTTGTGTATTGGTTGAGTAGTGTAATAGTATGGACTGTGAAGTTTGTACAGTTATACCAAGTGGAAGGACCATATGATATCCGCCTGGCTACAAGTGTTTGCATCCTGGTATTTTACACACTGTTGCTGATAGTCGAAAGACGAGTCATTTTCTCAAATCTTCCTGGACAGTCACAATATTCCTCGTGGAGTAGAACTAGTGAAAGTGAAGTCGAGGGGGATGCCTGTCAAGAATTCCAAGCAGGCCACATTAAATTTGTACACGATTTTGCAAACTTCTTGTCCCGTTGTACGTTCTCATGGATGTATGATGTGTTAAAGCTTGGCAGCAGTCGACCTCTTGAACCCGAAGATCTAGGCGAGTTACCACCGATTGACAAAGCCGAGTTTAAATTAACCACAAAAAGTTTATCAAAGTTTGGGAGGAGGAAAAGGTCCGAGCTGCTCCGACGAATACCACCCCATCTCTTTGGCGTGCTTTCTTCATCACATACAAACGTATCATCCTAACGGCAGCTGCATGCCGTTTTGTTGGAGATTTGTTAAGTTTCATTGGTCCATTGTGTTTAAAACAAATTGTTGCTTATGTTGAAGAAACTTTGAAGTCAGACAGTGATGATTCAAAGTCTCAAACGGCCGATGATGTAAACATGTCCATGTCAGACTTTTTTGGGAATGGTTTTGTTTTGGCTGTAGTGATATTATTTGGAAACATTGGATCAACCACTTTGTTACAGCAATATTTTTACCTCTCACTTCGTTTTTCTACGAATTTAAGAGCATCTCTTCAGGTGAGAAAGTAAAGTTTGCCTATAAGTGGCAATGCGCCCCAGATGCTTTATATTTTATGCTGTTTAATGCTGGATATGATTTTATTCGTCAAGGGGAGAGTGCTGCCACTAAATGGGTTAATCAGACTATCTCTCAAAGTCAACTTTTCTGTGGCCTTTACTTTGACTCTCTTTTAGGCATCCTGTTAACCCTTTAAGTGGCAATGCACCCTACTTTGTTGTTTTACTCTGTCTAATGCCAGACAATTTTACTTGTCAAGGTGGGGGGGGGCAGTGCTGCCACTCAATGATAGAGTTAACCGTGCCCATGCATGGCTGCATAAAAAAGTTAAATTGTCTGGCATTGGCCAGGGTAATATTGAGTAAGCCATTTTGCAGATTATAGTGTGTTAAACAAGCACAATTTATGGACAGTTTATGTTGTGCACTAAGTTAAGAAGATTAATGATACTACAGGTAGTTGCATGAGCTAGCAATTTAGATGTGAGCTACTTTAGCTGATTATTTTTATCTAAATTCCAAGGTAATGATCTACAACAAAGGCCTGAATCTTTCCAGTTTCACAATTTCTGGTGGTAAAATGGACTCAGGACAAATTGTAAACCATATTTCAATCGATACTCAAAACATTTCTATGTCGATGACCTTCCTACACCATTTGTGGGGAGCGCCTCTGAAAGTCATTCTTGCATTTATTCTTATTGTAAATGAGCTTGGTGTTGCCACATTACTGGGTTTTGTTGTGTTGCTTGTGCTCATCCCAATAAACTATGTTTTAGCGGCACAGATGGGACGGTTTCAAAAGATAGGCTTAGGTACAGTATTGAATAAAAATTATTGTTTCTTATTTTTTCAATATTTCACTGGCAAAAAGGCTTTCTTACTAGCAAAGAGAGAAGTCTGGTAATGAGCCCCATGCCATGCTGAATTTTTAAATCATTGGAACAAAGTTCAAACGTTGTAATGAATTGGTTAATTATGTAACTATGTTTATTGAACGCGTACTGTAGGTATAAGTGACGAGCGTCTGAAGAACACAAATGAGATGCTGCAAGGAATGAAACTTTTGAAGCTCTATGCATGGGAAGGATGGTTTGGTGAGCTGATTGAAAGAATACGTACTCGTGAAGTCTCTGTCAAAGTGAAAACTGCTCTCCTGAATGCCTTGGTGTTTTTCATTACTACATGTACAACAACCATCGTGGCTCTCGTTATGTTTGTCAGTTATGTCAAGGTGTCTGGTAAAGAGCTGACTGCATCAAAGGCGTTTGCATCGTTAGCCCTGATTAATCTTATGAAGGTGTATAAATAATTTGATTTGTAATGATAAACCTCCCACACACTGGGGAAGCCCAAACCCCATATGATGATGATACAACATTAGGTTTTCATGGAGAGAGTAGAATGTCAAAGTATTAGGACCCACAATGCACCCACATTGCAATTTAACTTGTGAACAATGGTAGCCTCTCTAATGCGGACCCCTTCTAACATGGACATCTATCTAATATGTCTAGATCTAGACATTTTATTTTGTTTGTTCTTTATTGCGAACACCTCTCTATTGACTCTATTACGAACACCTCTCTATTACGAACACCTCTCTAATATGGAGATATTTCTATACAGACACCTCTCTAATATGGACACCCCTCTAGTACGGACATCTCTCTAATACAGACCCCTCTTAAAAACAGACATCTCTCTAATACAGACAATTTCCAATGGGCGGACGCTAAATTAAATAATTCTCATATATTTTCTTTTAAAAACCTTCCTTTTTTAGCTCTGTTCCTTAAATGTCCATAGTAGAAAAGTCAGACTGTTTATTTTTTTCCAACTAGGTGCCCCTCTTCCTGTTACCAGTAATGGTCCGCACAGTAGTGAATGCACGTGTTAGCACGAAGCGTCTTCTCCCGTATCTCCTCGCACCTGAAATCAGTCACCTGCGAGACGAAGCTCCCGTCTGTGTCATCGAAGAAGACGAAGAAAGTCCGAGCCCGGAGGAATTCAAAATGGTGCCGCTGAAACCCACCATGGATGACTCCACACCATCACCAGGTAGCCCTACCATTGAGATTAGCGTGAAGTTCTCTAAAGACTCCACGAAGAAGAAGAAGAAGAAAGATGATACGAAACAAAAGTCGAGCGCTGATCCTGATTTCTGTATTCCACCTCGGATTGCAGTTGTTATCAACGATGCCAGCTTCACGTGGAACCCCGAAGCAGACCAGCCAACAATATCGAACGTAGATGTTAATGTACCCAAAGGAAAACTGACGATGATTGTGGGACCTGTTGGAAGTGGAAAATCCTCTTTGGTAATGTATAAATTACTCGATTTTATACATTAGGGACTCGGCAAAATGCGGCAATGGATCATTCCTCTAGACGAAGCGTACACGCATAAAAACGCACAACTTGTATGTATGTATGTATGTATGTATGTAAACTTTATTTAAAGACGTTAGCCTCGTCAACGATTTGTTGATTTTCACGAGGGACGTCTGTTACTGTTGAAAATTACAAATATGATATAGAAAAGAATAAAGAATTATATACAACTATTTACAATACAAGAATTAAGTTCCAAACGGTGTGACCCATATTTCTAAAGCATGCATATACAGTATATTAGAAGATGTTAGCGTGAAACTTTCAGGCAGTTTTTAAAAGAATAAATTGATTGCGCTAGCTTCGCATCAGAAGGAAGACTATTCCACAATTTAGCTCCGCTATACTTAAAGCTTTTTTTTAAAAATTCTCGTTTTGGCTTAGCAAGGGTAAGGTCAGTATAAGTATTGCGAAGATTATAACTGGTTTGAACAAGGTCCCTTCTCGTTAGAGTATCCTTCAAGTTCGGCCCAGCGCAATCATTCAGGACTTTATACATTAATGTGGATTTAGTTGTACGTTGTCTTATCTCTAAATTTTCCCAAGCAAGGGATCGAAGAACATCAGCAGACCTTGTTTCATAGCTGGCGCCGGTTATAATTCTCGCTGCACGGTTTTGGAACTTTTGAAGCTTGTCTTTCAGCTGTTGGTTACAGACGTCCCATAATGGACTACAATAATCAAAATACGGTTCTATCAAAGCTCTGTAGATGGTATGCAGGGTATTTATAGGAACATATGGCTTAATTCGTTGCATTGCTCCTATGCCGGCCCCAACTTTCTTACAAATCATTTCAACATGCTCATGCCAATTAAGGTTTTCATCAAGTTTAACCCCAAGGCATGTGTATGAATGAGCAAGAGTTATGAATTGGTTATTCATCATTACTGGAATATCATAAGTCATAGTATCAGTATTATACTTTGAACCGATATACATTAATTTGGTCTTAGTTGGGTGGTGTTGCAGTTTATTTCGAGCAAGCCACTCACCGACTTTTTTCAGGTCATTATTTAGATTTTCAGTAAGTTCCTCAATAGTTTTGGCAGAAGTAGAAATTTGAGTATCATCAGCGTATAGGTGTGGCGAAGTTTTTTCGAGGCATTCGGGTAAATCATTAATATATAATAAAAACAGCAAGGGACCAAGAATTGATCCCTGCGGAACTCCGCACACAATCGTTTTAGGTGATGACATTGCACCGTTGACAATGCATGCTTGCTCTCTATTAGTTAGATAGGACTTAAACCAATCCAGTTCCACATTTTTTATTCCAAATTGATCATTCATCTTTTGCAATAAGATTGTATGATCAATAGAATCAAAAGCTTTTCTAATATCAAGGAAAACAACACCACTCAACTGACCATTATCCATGTTCTCATAAAGTGTGTCACACATTTGAATGAGTGTTGTTAAAGTTGAATGCTTAGGCCGAAAGCCAGATTGATGTTTAGATAGCAGCGAATTATCATTCAAAAACTTATAAATCTGGTTGAAAACCGATCTCTCTAGTATTTTACTGACAATAGGCAATATAGATATCGGTCGGTAATTTTCACATCTTTGTCTATCATCAGATTTAAAAATTGGCATTACCCACGCCTTTTTCCATTCATCAACATATATCCCAGTTTTGATTGAAAGATTATAAATCCATGTTAATGAAGGACCAATAACTTCCGCGGACAATTTAAGAGCTATAGCAGGGATGTTATCAATACCGGTAGACTTTGAAATTTTAAGATTACGTAATTGACAAATAATATCATCCATACTAATTTCAGAAAACTTAAAATTTATATTAGAGTAATAGTTAGAGTGGTAATTTTCATCATCTGAAAAGTTCGTACATGGAGAATCGTTCTCAATTTCATTAGCCAAATTTACCCCGATGTTAACAAAGAAGTCATTAAACGCCTCAGCTTTCAAAGTATCATCTGAAATCACAACATCATCACATTTAAGTTGAGAGATATTATTTGATTTTTTGTTTTTACCTAAGAGAATATTAATTAACTTCCAACTATGTTTCATATCTTTCGATTGTGCGCAGTTCTCAAATTTGTTACAGAAAAATGCTGTTTTAGCTTTAGTTAGTTCTGAATTGACTTTGTTACGTATTTCTTTAAATTTCTCCCAGTGAATCTGGGAATTATTTTTAACAGCCATTTTCTTGTAAGAGTCCCTAACCCTCATCAGGTTTTTGATATCAGGGGAAATCCAAGGAATAGAATTTCCTCTAAGTCTCATCAGTCTTAGGGGCGCATGCCAATCAAGGACGTGTAGGAAAAGGGATCTCCATACCAGCCAACAAATATTTGTGTTATCATAAAGCGCCACATTTTCCCAGGGCATCTGGGAAAGATCATTAAGAAAATTATTGGCATTGAATCTTTTGAAATTGCGAACATATCTTGTCTTTTGCCGAGATTTAGTGTACCTCACACTGATGACAAGGTCGCTCAAGCTGAGCACAAGGTTCCTCACCCTGAGGACAAGATTTCTCACGCTGAGGACAAGGTTCCTCACACTGAGGACAAGGTCCTTACGCTGACGACAAGGTTCCTCACTCTGAGGAACGGTTCCTCACGCTAAGGACAAGGTACCTCGACCTGAGGACAAGGTTCCTCATGCTGAGGAACAGGATCCTCACGCTGAGGACAAGGTATCTCAACCTGAGGACAAGGTTCCTCACGCTGAGGTCAAGGTACCTCACGCTGAGGACAAGGTATCTCACACTGAGGACAAGGTTCCTCACGCTGAGGACAAGGTTCCTCACGCTGACGACAAGGTTCCTCACACTGAGGACAAAGTACTTCACACTGGGGACAAGGTTCCTCAAGCTGAGGACAAGATACCTCACATTGAGGACAAGGTACCTCACACTGAGGACAAGGATCATCTCGCCGAGGGCAAGGTTCCTCACGCTGAGGACAAGGATCCTCACGCTGAGGACAACGTATATCACGCTGAGGAAAAGGTTCCTCAAGCTGAAGACAAGGTAACTCACACTGAGGACAAGGTACCTCACGCTGAGGACAAGTTCCTTACGCTGAGGACAAGGTTGCTCACTCTGAGGAACGGTTCCTCACGCTAAGGACAAGGTACCTCGACCTGAGGACAAGGTTCCTCACACTGAAGACAAGGTTCCTCACGCTGAGGACAAGGTTCCTCAAGCTGAGGAGAAGGTTCCTCACGCTGAGGACAAGGTACCTCACACTGAGGACAAGGCACCTCACACTGAAGACAAGGTTCCTCACGCTGAGGACAAGGATCCTCAAGCTGAGGACAAGGTACCTCACACTGAAGACAAGGTACCTCACACTGAGGACAAGGTTCTTCACGCTGAGGACAAGGTTCCTCCCGCTGCGGACAAGGTTCCTCAAGCTGAGGACAAGGTAACTCACACTGAGAACAGGGTACCTCACACTGAGGGCAAGGTACCTCACACTGAGGACAAGGTTCCTCACTCTGAGAACAAGGTTCCTCAAGCTGAGGACAAGGTAACTCACACTGAGGACAAGGTACCTCACTCTAAGGACAAGGTTCCTCACGCTGAGGACAAGGTTCCTCACGCTGAGGACAAGGTAGCTCACACTGAGGACAATGGTCCTCACACTGAAGACAAGGTACCTCACGCTGAGGAAAAGGTTCCTCACGCTGAGGACAATCTTCCTCACGCTGAGGACAAGGTTCCTCACGCTGAGGACAAGGTTCATTGCGCTGAGGACAAGGTTCGTCACGCTGGGGACAAGGTTCCTCACGCTGCGGACAAGGTTCCGCACGCTGAGGACAAGGTTCTTTACGCTTAGCACAATGTACCTCTTGCTGAGGGCAAGCTACCTTACCCTGAGGACAAGGTTCCTCATGCTGAGGACGGGGATCCTCACGCTGAGGTCAAGGTACCTCACGCTTAGGACAAGGTATCTCACACTGAGGACAAGGTTCCTCGCGTTCTGAGGACAAGGTTCCTCACGCTGAGGACAATGGTCCTCACGCTGAGGACAAGGTACTTCACACTGAGGACAAGGTTCACACGCTGACGACAAGGTAGCTCACACTGAGAACAAGGTTCCTGAAGATGAGGACAAGGTACCTCACATTGAATTGAGGACAAGGCACGTCACACTCAAGCCAAGTTTCCTCACGCAGAGTACAAGGTTCCTCACGCTGAGGACAAGGTTCTTTACGCTGAGGACAAGCTTCCTCACGCTGAGGACAAGCTTCCTGACGCTGAGGACAATGTTCCTCAGGTTGAGAACAATGTTCCTAACGCTGAGGACAAGGTTCCTCACGCTGAGGACAAGGTTCCTCACGCTGAGGACAATGTTCCTCACGCTGAGGACAAGGTTCCTCAAGCTGAGGACAATGTACCTCACACTGAAGACAAGGTACCTCACACTGAGGACAAGGTTCCTCACGCTGAAGACAAGGTTCCTCCGGCTGTGGACAAGGTTCCTCACGCTGAGGACAAGGTTCCTCACGCTGAGGAGAAGGTTCCTCACGCTGAGGACAAGGTTCATTGCGCTGAGGACAAGGTTCCTCACGCTGGGGACAAGGTTCCTCACGCTGCGGACAAGGTTCCTCACGCTGAGGACAAGGTTCTTTACGCTTACCACAATGTACCTCCTGCTGAGGGCAAGGTTCCTTACGCTGAGGACAATGGTCCTGACGCTGAGGACAATGGTCCTGACGCTGAGGACAAAGTTCCTCACGCTTAGGACAAGGATCCTCACGCTGAGGACAAGGTTCTTCATGCTGAGGACAAGGTAGCTCACACTGAGGACAATGGTCCTCAAGCTGAGGACTAGGTACCTCACATTGAGGACAAGGTACCTCACACTCAGGACAAGTTTCCTCACGCTGAGGACAATGTTCCTAACGCTGAGGACAAGGTTCCTCACGCTGAGGACAAGGTTCCTCACGCTGAGGGCAATCTTCCTCACGCTGAGGACAAGGTCCCTCACGCTGAGGAGAAGGTTCCTCACGCTGAGGAAAAGGTTCCTCACGCTGAGGACAAGGTTCCTCACGCTGAGGACAAGGTTCCTCACGCTGAGGACAAGGTTCATTGCGCTGAGGATAAGGTTCGTCACGCTGGGTACAAGGTTCTTCACGCTGCGGACAAGGTTCCTCACGTTGCGGACAAGGTTCCTCACGCTGAGGACAAGGTTCCTCACTTGAGGACAAGGTTCTTTATGCTGAGGACAAGAATGCTCACGCTGAGGACAATTGTCGTCACGCTGAGGACAATGTTCCTCACGCTCAGGACAAGCCTCCTCACGCTGAGGACAAGGTTCCTCACGCTGAGGACAAGGTACTTCACGCTGAGAACAAGGTTCCTCACGCTGAGGAAAAGGTTCCTCACGCGGAGGAGAAGGTTTGTCACGCTGAGGACAAGGTTCCTCACGCTGAAGACAAGGTTCCTCACGCTCAGGACAGGGGTCCTTACGCGGAGGACAAGGTTCCTGACGCTGAGGACAAGGTTCCTCTCGCTGAGGACGACGTTCGTCACGCTGAGGGAAAGGTTCCTCGCGCTGAGAACAAGGTTCTTTACGCTGAGGACAAGGTTCCTCACGCTGAGGGCAAGGTTCGTCACGCTAAAGACAAGGTTCCTCACGCTGAGAACAAGGATCCTCGAGCTGAGGACAAGGTTCCTCACGCTGAGAACAAGGTTCTTCAGGCTGAGAACAAGGTTCCTCACGCTGAGGACAAGCTTCCCACGTTGAGGACAAGGTTCCTCACGCTGAGGACAAGGTTCCTCACGCCGAGTACAAGGTACCTCACGCCGAGAGCAAGGGTCCTCACGCTGAGGCCAAGGTTACTCACGCTGAGGACAAGATTCCTCACGCTGAGGAAAAGGTGCCTCACGCTGAGAACAAGGATCCTCGCGCTGAGGAGAAGGTTCCACATGCTGAGGACAAGGTTCCTCACGCTGAAGACAAGGTTCCTCACGCTAAGGGCAAGGTTCCTCACGCTGAGAACAAGGATACTCGCGCTGAGGACAAGGTTCCTCAATCTGAGAACAAGGTTCCTGACGCCGAGGGAAGGTTCCCACGCTGAGGACAAAGTTCCTAACGCTAAGAACAAGGTTCCTGACCCTGAGGACAAGGTTCCTCACGCGTAAGACAAGGTTCCTCACTCTGAGGACACAAAGTGGGAAACGTTGTCCTCAGCGTGAGGAACCTTGTCCTCAGCGTGAGGAACCTTGTTCTCAGCGTGACGAAGCATGTCCGCAGCGTCAGGAACCTTGTCCACATCGCAAGGAACCTTGTTCGCAGCTTGAGGAAAATTGTCCTGAACGTGACGCAACTTGTCCTCAGCTTGAGGAACCTTGTCCTCAGGGTGAGGAGCCTTGTCATCAGCGTGAGGAACCTTGTCCTCAGCGTGAGGAACCTGGTCCTCAGCGTGAGGAATCTTGCCCTCAGCGTGAGGAACCTTGTCCTCAGCTTGAGGAACGTTGTGCTCAGCGTAAAGGACCTTGTCCTCAACATGAGGAGCCTTGTCATCAGCGTGAGGAACCTTGTCTTCAGGGTGAGGAACGTTGTTCTCAGCCTGAGCATCCTTGTCCTTAGCGTGAGGAACCTTGTCCTCAGCGTGAGGAATGTTGTTCTCAGCATGAGGAACATTGTCGTCAGCGTGAGGAACCTTGTCTTCAGCGTGAGGAATCTTGCCCTCAGCGTGATGAACCTTGTCCTCAGCGTGACGAACCTTGTCCTCAGCGTGAGTAAACTTGTCCTCCGGTGAGGAACCTTGTTCTCAGCGTGAGGAACGTTGTCCTCGGCGTGAGGAACCTTGTCCTCAAAGTGAGGAACCTTGTCCTCAGCGTGAGGAACCTTGTACTCAGCGTGAAGAATCTGGCCCTCAGCGTGAGGAACCTTGTCCTCAGCGTGGGAACCTTGTCCTCAGCGGGAGCAACATTGTCCTCAGCGTGAGCAACATTGTCCTCAGCGTGAGGATGCGTGTCCTCAGCGTGACGAACCTAGTCTTAAGCGTGAGCAACCTTGTCCTCAGCGTGAGGAACCCTGTTCTCAGCGTGAGAAGCAATGTCCTCAGCTTATGGAACGTTGTCCACAGCGTGAGGAACCTTGTCCTCAGCGTGAGCATCCTTGCATGTCTTTAGCGTGAAGAACCTTGTCCTCAGCGTGGGAACCTTGTCCTCAGCAGGAGGAACCTTGTCCTCAGCGTGAGGAACCTTGTCTTCAGCGTGAGGATCCGTGTCCTCAGGGTGAGGAAGCTTGTCTTAAGCGTGAGCAACCTTATCCTCGGCATGAGGAAGCTTGTCCTTAGAGTGAGGAACCTTGACCTCAGCGTGAGGAACCTTGTTTTCAGCGTGAGGAACTTTCCCCTCAGCGGGAGGATCCTTGTTCTCAGCGTGACGCACCTTGTGCTCAGCGTGAGGAATCTTGTCCTCAGCGTGAATAACCTTGTCCTCAGTGTGAGCTACCTTCTGCTCAGCTTGAGGAACCTTGTCTTCAGTGTGAAGTACCTTGTCCTCAGCGTGAGGAACCTTCTCCTCAGCGGGAGGAACCTTGCCCTCAGCGTGAGGAACCTTGTCCTCACTGTGAGGTACCTTATCCTCAGAGTGAGGTACCTTGTCCTCAGCTTGAGGAACCTTGTCCTCAGTGTGAGGTACATAGTCCTCAGCGTGAGGACCCTTGTCCTCAGCGTGAGGAACCTTGTCCTCGTCGTGAGGAACCTTGTCCTCAGCATGAGGAACCTTGTCCTCCGTGTGAGGAACCTTGTCCTCAGCGTGAGGAACCTTGTCCTCAGCGTGAGGAACCTTGTCCTCAGCGTGAAGAACCTTGTCCTCAGTATGAGGTAACTTGTCCTCAGCGTGAGGATCCTTGTCGTCAGTGTGAGGTACCTTGTCCTCAGCGTGAGCAACCTTGTCCTCTCCGTGAGGTACCTTGTCCTCAGCGTGAGGATCCTTGTCGTCAGTGTGAGGTACTTTGACATCAGCGTGAGTTATCGTCTCCTCTGCCTGAGGAACCTTGTCCACAACGTGAGGAACCTTGTCCTCTGCGTGAGGAACCTTGTCCTCAGCGTGAGGAACCTTGTCGTCAGTGTGAGGTACCTTGTCCTCAGCGTGAGCAACCTTGTCCTCTGCGTGAGGTACCTTGTCCTCAGCGTGAGGATCCTTGTCGTCAGTGTGAGGTACCTTGCCCTCAGCGTGACCAACCTTGTCCTCTGCGTGGGTAACTTTGTCCTCAGCGTGAGCAACCTTCTCCTCAGCGTGAGCAACCTTGTCGTCAGTTTGAGGAACCTTGTCCTCAGTGTGAGGTAGCTTGTCCTCAGGGTGAGGTACCGGTCCTCAGCTTGAGGAACCGGTCCTCAGCTTGAGGCACCTTGTCCTCAGTGTGAGGTACATTGTCCTCAGCGTGAGGACCCTTGTCCTCAGCGTGAGGAACCTTGTCCTCAGCGTGAGGAACCTTGTCCTCAGTGTGAGGTCCCTTGTCCTCAGTGTGAGGTACCTTGTCCTGAGCGTGAGGAACGTTGTGCTCAGCGTCAGGAACCTTGTCTTCATCGTGAGGAACCTTGTCCTCAGCGTGAGGAACCTTGTCCTCAGTGTGAGGGACTTGGTCCTCAGTGTGAGGTACCTTGTCTACAGTGTGAGGTACCTTGTCCTCAGCGTGAGGAACCTTGTCCTCAGCGTGTGGAAACTTGTCCTCCGTGTGAGGTAATTTGTCCTCAGCTTGAGGCACCTTGTCATCTGCGTGAGGAATAGTCTCCTCTGCGCAAGGAACCTTGTCCTCAGTGGGAGGTACCTTGTCCTCAGTGTGAGGAACCATGTCCTCAGCGTGAGGAACCTTGTCCTCAGCATGAGGTACCTTGTCCTCAGCGTGAGGAACCTTGTACTCAGCGTAAGGAACCTTGTCCTCAGCGTGAGGAACCTTGTCCTCAGCGTGAGGAACCTTGTCCTCAGCGTGAGGAACCTTGTCCTCAGTGTGAGGTACCTTGTCCTCAGCGCGAGGAACCTTGTCTTCAGCGTGAGGAACCTTTTCCTCAACGTGTCGAACCTTGTCCGCACCGTGAGGAACCTTGTCCTGAGCGTGAGGAACCTTGTCCTCGGTGTGAGGTACCTTGTCTTCAGTGTGAAGGGCTTTGTAGTCAGCTTGAGGAACCTTGTCCACAGCGTGAGGAAACTTGTCCTCAGTGTGAGGAACCTTGTCCTCAGCATGAAGAACTTTGTCCTCAGTGTGAGGTACCTTGTCCTCAGTGTGAGGTACCTTGTCCTCAGCGTGAGGAACGTTGTACTCAGCGTGAGGAACCTTGTCTTTAGCGGGAGGAACCTTGTCCTCAGCGTGAGGAACCTTGTCCTCACCGTGAGGAACCTTGTCCGCAGCGTGAGGAACCTTGTCCTCAGAGTGATTTACGTTGTCCTCAGGGTGAGGTGCCGTGTCCTCAGCTCGAGGAACCTTGTCCTCAGCTTGAGGAACCTTGTCCTTAGTGTAAGGTACATTGTCCTCAGCGTGAGGACCCCTGTCCTCAGCGTGAGGAACCTTGTCCTCGGCATGATGTACCTTGTACTCCGTGTGAGGAACCTTGTCCTCAGCGTGAGGAACCTTGTCCTCAGTGTGAGGGACTTGGTCCTCAGTGTGAGGTACCTTGTCTACAGTGTGAGGTACCTTGTCCTCAGCGTGAGGAACCTTGTCCTCAGCGTGTGGAACCTTGTCCACAGTGTGAGGTAACTTGTCCTCAGCGTGAGGCACCTTGTCATGTGCGTGAGGAATGGTCTCCTCTGCGTGAGGAACCTTGTCCTCAGCGTGAGGACCCTTGTCCTCAGCGTGAGGAACCTTGTCCTCAGCGTGAGGAATCTTGTCTTCAGCGTGAAGAACCTTGTCCTCAGTGTGAGGTACCTTGTCGTCAGCGTGAGGATTCTTGTCCTCAGCGTGAGGAACCTAGTCCTCAGCGTGAGGAACCTTGTCCTCAGCGTGAGGAACCTTGTCCTCACCGTGAGGAACATTTTTTCTCAGCGTGAGGAAAATTGTCCTCAGTGTGAGGTACCTTGTCCTCAGTGTGAGACACTTTGTGCACAGCTTGAGCAACCTTGTCCTCAGCGTAAGGAACCTTTTCCTCAGAGTGAGGAACCTTGTCGTCAGTGTGAGGTACCTTGTCCTCAGCGTGAGGAACCTTGCCCTCAGCGTGAGGAACCTTGTCGTCAGTGTGAGGTACCTTGTCCTCAGCGTGAGCAACCTTGTCCTCTGCGTGAGCAACCTTGTCCTCTGCGTGAGCAACCTTCTCTTCAGCGTGAGGAACCTTGTAATCAGCGTGAGGAACCTTGTCCTCAGTGTGAAGTACCTTGTCCTCAGTTTGAGGTACTTTGTCATCAGCTTGAGGAACCTTGTCCTCAGCTTGAGGAACCTTGTCCTCAGTGTGAGGTACCTTGTCCTCAGTGTGATGTACCTTGTCCTCAGCGCGAGGAATGTTGTGCTCAGCGTGACGAACCTTGTCTTCAGCGTGAGGAACCTTGTCCTCAGCGTTAGAAATCTTGTCCTCAGCGTGAGGAACCTTGCCCCCAACGTGAGGAGCCTTGTCCTCAGTGTGAGATACCTTGTCC